AGGGTCAACCTTGCGTTGAGACAAATTACTAAATTTTTACGAAGCCTCCTTTTCGGGGTCGGTACACCCCCCCATATTAACTATCATGGATCTTTCACATAGATTATGCTCATCAATGCTCTCAATTATGGCAGTCACCACATGGAGAAGTGGTGACCGTGTCAATCCGCGCTTTTTCTCGTCAAGAGGAGGAAAGCGAGGCAAATGAAGTTTATTTATTAAAGATAGAAGCATTTTTACAAATTTTGCGTAACAATACATATTTTATTCGTAAAGATTTGCTACTTTCAGAAACCATCCAGTTTTTCGAATTCTCCAACTGCCTTACCTTATAATCTGAAAAATAACCTTTGTAGCAATTAAATTCAATCCAAACCCTCATTCAGAAGTTATATTTTTTCAATAGCATGTTCATTGAAATCGGACACAGGCTTTGGAATATTGAATAGTTTTCTTCCTGAGGATATTTGAAATTGTGGTGGGATGTTCGATATTTCAAAAAAAATCGTTCCGTTGTTCGTTTTATGTGCACACGCGAGTTTTGACATTCAAATTTCTATAACTTACTTCCAATCAACTTTTTGGTCAAAGTATAGGCTAATTAGAACTAGAATTAGAGCGTCTCGAACAAGTCGCTGAAAAAATTCCAGCGATCATTTTTTTCATCCAATAAGTGGTGGTGGGGAGTCCGTTTGTTCTTTTATGGGTGGTTTTGGGGTCGATGTTTTTGAGAGTCGCGACGAGTTCTCGACATTCAAACGTTAATAACTTTTTTCATACTCAACATTTTGCAGATGTCTAAGGCTAATTTTAAGAAACTAGAGGATTAATGCCTTTAGAATAGGTGTATTCTTAAATATCACATCGTAACAAATTAGTCCGATTTCCGATTCTATTCAACTAATTTTTTTTTTCCTGGCCGCTGTTACGAGTAACAAAGAATCCGTTGCATCGACGATATTTCGTTGGTTGCACCATAACTGCAAGGTGGGTAAAACTGATTAGCACGAGATGAGCAGTTGATCCGCAAGGCACGAAACCCACAACGCGAGGCGCAGAGTTCAAGCGGTACGAATCGAAACTTTCCCTACGACCGGGCTTCCCTGCTTTGACCGCGGTCTCCAAAACAACTCAGCTAATGAAAGGCCGATGAATGAAAGGCCCACAGGGATGCGACAGTCTAAAGCCACAAAGGCACAGTCCACTAAGGAGCCACTAAGGCACAATCAGCTAATAGCCACAAAGGCAGTCACGACGTGGCCACGTAGGCCCTAATAGAGAAAGAAGAACGAATAGACTGCTGGTCTCCTCTATGCTTAAATACCACTATGTACGCGCGCGATCACTTTCTGTATTATCGATTATCGGTGACTTAGTTGGTCACCTGCAGGGCTCTACGCTTTGCGGGGCGCCTTTCGGGTCCGCTTATCTCGTCCCTCTTATCTGACACGCCCCCCCTCCACGAAGTCGGCGTCCTCGCCGACCGCTCTGGCTGCAACTCCGGCAGTTCCACCTGCGGGGCTCGTCTCCGAATAAGATCATACAGCTGTTTAGCAGCTGCTACACCTGGATAAGCTTTGTAAAACTGGGATGACCCCTCTGGTGATCCCGCTTCCATGAACAGTTTTCCATCGATCATGCAGTTACTGGCGGTCAGTACCAGCTGTTCCGGTCCCGCAAATTTCTTCAGCGTTCCGTCAAGCGTCTTCCATAGTTTGCTTGTCGCCAACCATTCCACAATATTCTGCGCCGTCACCGGCGTCCATGCCGTGATGATTTTACCCCCTTCTTCGAGGTGAACCCTTGACAATCTGATTATTTCCTCAATAGCTGCCGTATCACCGCTGCTGTCGATGGGGAATACCAGCACCCAGGTTCCGCATGTCTTCCAGCTCCTGAGCGCGTCGCGTAACATCGAATACGATGTTGTGACTTTCGTGATGAGTCCCGATCTCGGGCCGTCTTTCTCCATAAGCCATGCACATTCGGGAGCCGCGAATCCCACTGGACCCTCTTTTTTCTTCCTTTCAGACCGGCCTTGATTCCTGAGGTCGTCCTTGAGCCTTTCGAAGGCAATTTTATAAAAATCCAAGACGCAATTATCCTCGATCGGTGGATGCTTGACGATGGCCGAGTTGCTACACACAAATTCGGTCCAATCGGTACAGACGTCGTAAGCTAACTTTAGCACATGGCGAAGCGCATCAGCATCCAAAGTCACCGCCCGCTCCTTGTGAAGTCGTATCTTCTCTGACATCCCTATGTCGTTCCTTATGAAAATCGACGCTGTTTTCCAAGCGGACCACAAATCCCCAAATGGCTGTCGTGCGAAGGCCCCTGGGAATGTTATTCCACGAATGTCTCCGAGGCAAGACTTTCCGAAGCATTCGTCCAAACATTGCGCCTGCAAGTGTCCTTTGTCCGTGACGCTTCTTATCGTGGCGCCTCTGAAACAGCTAGTATAAGTCTTGCAGACCTTCGTCTTACATTTTCTTCCTTTTCTTCCTCTAACTCTCTCTGTGTCAATTCTATCGTCGGAAATATATTTAGGCACTATTCTCAACATGTCAAACTGGATCCTAATGGGCTCCGTATTCTCGCCTATTCTAGTCACCAGAGCAGAATTACTACTAGTCTCTATCACCCTGTAGGGCCCTGCCCATTCTCCTACCAGTTTAGGGTGGGAATTGCGTGCTTTCTCGTTCGGGGATAGTACGTACACTCTATCACCGACTTTCGGGTACACCTTCCGTTCAACCTTGTACTGCGCATCATACTGTTTTTTCATTTGCTCACGCACCCGCTCATTATATTCTCTTACTCTCTCGTGCGTTTCTGCTACCGCCTGCAGTATTTCCGTTTTGTACTCTTCCATTGCTTTGTCCATTGAATACCACGTAATCCCTGCGTTAGGGATAATTTCCGACGGAAATGTGGGGTCGACACCATGAAGAAGGAAGTATGGGCTCTCACCCGTTGCTCTGTGGGGGGTCATATTATATGCCATCATACAAAATGGCAACCTCGTGTCCCATTCTGTCGGCACGATCGTACTTCGCCTCAACATGGCGACGATGGTCCCATTTAGCCTCTCTGTCAGCCCGTTCTCTCTGGGGTTGTATCCCTTGGTGGTGACGTGTTTTATTTTCGTTATTTTCGTCAGCTCTTCCATGACTGAATTAACGAATTCTCCACCTTTATCAGACAGTATTGTTTTCGGCCACCTACAACCCTCAGCAATCCATCTGATAAAAATGGTTTTTGCAATGGTCTCGGCCGATTTGTCCGATACTGGGTATGCCGCGGCGTATTTCGAAAAATGGTCTATCACCGTTACCGCATATCGGTTCCCATTTCTCGTGAGGCCTAGTTCCAGGACGTCTACCCCCACTATTTCATAAGGCTTCGTCGTTATTATCGGTTTGAGCGGCGGTATCGTCGCTTCTCTCGGATTATGGACGAAGCACTTCTGGCACTCATTTGTCCACCTAAAGATGTCCTGCGCCATTCCCGGCCAGAACACTTCCTTTTTCAACCTGTTCAACACTTTCGGAGCGCTAAAGTGGCCAGCGAAAACTCCATCATGTGCCTCCTGGAAGACCTTGTACCTATATGCCTTCGGCACCACGTAAACTGCTCTACCACCGTCTCCATACATTTTTAACTCTCCTTCTTCCAAGCAAAAGTCCGCTACTCTCAACAGTCGTTTTTCCCCTGTCAGCCGGACTATCTCATCCCACTTTTCTTCTTCTACCAGACGCACCAGTTCGCCTAACTGTGCATCTTCTCTCAGTTCCTTTAGCCACTTCGTGTCATTCTTAGCCGCTACTACATTTACCACTGCTTCGTTCCATCCCCCCAGGGAGTCTGACGCTGCTGACGTCGCGATCCCTCTGCTAAGGGCATCGGCGACAACGTTGGCCTTACCCTTGACGTACTGAATTTCTAAGTTATATCTCTGCAACTCTAGAGACCATCTCAGTACACGGGTCGATACATTGCTTCGTCTGAATAGGGCTGTCAATGGTTGATGATCTGTCATGACCACTACCGGCAATCCATAGATGAACATGTGAAACCTACGGACCGCGAAGACGACCGCTAACGCCTCCAAATCTGTCACGTGGTATCTGCGCTCAGCTTTGCTGAGGCTCTTTGACGCGAAAAAAATCGGATGTATCTGTTTGTCCACTCCCTCCTGGGATAACACCGCGCCTAGTCCGTACATGGAGGCATCTGTACATATCAAAAAGGGTCTACTACCATTTCGAGCGGCCTCCACATCTGGTTGGTTTAGCACCGGAGCCGAACTGATCATATCCTTTACTTTTTCGAATGCTTCTTGATGCTCCTTTTGCCATGACCACCTAGTCTTCGGTGACGTCAAACTGAACAGAGATCCTGCTTGCTTGGAAAAACCTAAGCAGAACTTCCTGTAGAAGGAGGCCATCCCTAAGAAAGTTCGTAGCTCTTTACTAGTCTTTGGCGTGGGGTAATTTCTGATGGCAGCGATTTTTTCCGGATCCATGTGAACTCCTTGTCCGTCGACAACATGTCCCAAAAAGGTAACTTTACGCCTGAGAAGATAGCACTTCTGTGCTTTCAAACGTAGGCCTGCTGCCTTCAGCCTTGAGAACACCTCTCCTAGAAGCTCAAGATGACGTTCCTTCGTTGATGTGCATACCATTATATCGTCGATGTAGCAGAAGACCTCATTGCCAAGAAGATTTCCTAAGACAGAGTCCATCAGTCTCTGGAACACCGCCGGACTCGTACTCAGACCAAACGGCGTGACTTTGAACTGGAAAAGACCGTCCGGTGTTACGAATGCAGACTTTTCCTTGGCTTCCTCCGCTAAGGGGATCTGCCAATATCCGCTGCACAGGTCTAACGTCGAGAAAAACTCTTTCCCTGCGAGACTTTGCAAGACAGCTTCAATGTTTGGAAGTGGATAGGCGTCTAATTTTATTCTTTTGTTGAGTTCCCTATAGTCCACACACAATCGAATGGAACCATCTTTTTTCTCAACTAGAACTATAGGGAAGGCCCACTCCGACTTGCTCTTTTCGATTATATTCCTATCTAGTAAGTCTGTCAAAAGCTCTTTCAATTTCGGTCTGATTCCTAACGGAACGGGTCTTGCTTTCATTTTTATAGGGCTACTGTCTCCCGTATCGATAGTCATTTCTGCCATATCTGTCTGAGAAAGTTCTCTCTCACACACTGCAAACGCATCCGAATGTAATGTTAGCAAATGCCGTATGCCTTCATCTAGATGCCCTGCTTCTGTGTTTATTTCAATCAGTTCTGTTAGTCTTTCCAGTCTTTCTTGTCCTTGCCACATGTGTTCTCCATTATCCATCTTCAGTGGGTTGAGTTCTTCCCATCGCTGATGCCACTTGTCGGTGCCCCAGCGCCCTACCTCTTCGCCTTGCTTGAGGACCAGCCCTTCATCACTATTATTGAAGACAGGCACAACCGCTTCCTGATTTCGGATACTGTACACGCCGGCTGCTACCCCCTCCTTGGTAGGCCAAATCACTCGCTCCACCTCTTCCAAACGGTCACCACTGCATAGCACTGATACGAGCGCGACCCTACGAGGCGGTACATACACACGCTCCTTCACTGTCACATCTCCTCTGTCCTCTTCTTTTCTCTGTTGTATCTTTCCCTCTTGGTTTCCGATTATGGAAACTTCGATTCCCAACCTACCAAGAGCATTGGTGCCCAATATGATTTCCTCTTCCTTTCCCTTACTGATGTGAAAGGCGACTCTCTCCCGATTTCCTCCATGCAGTTCGGTTTCTACTATGACTGCTCCCAGAAAGTGCATTCTATTTCCTGATGCATCAAAGACGGGGCTGAGACTTGACTCCTCTACCAACTCCAGAGCATCCACATCGTACCCACTGTCCTGAGCCTTCCTTAGTATGTCGACCGGTAAGATGCTAATCATTGATCCAGTGTCTACCAGTGCCTGATTCTCTCTATCCAACAAATTTATTGATACCACAACGCGATCTCCAATTAGAGCACTTCTCTTGACTCTTGCATTCTTCACTGCCATACCTAGGCTTCGCGCTTGTTCGATTATTCTGGACACCGTAGCCTTCTCTTTTACCTGCGCTTGTTCCTTGTGTCCGATCTGGTTTACCCTAGCCTTTCTTTGCGGGCAGTCGCGGCTAATGTGTCCGTACCTCGAGCAGCTATAGCATTTCTTGCTCTCGCTAGTGCCCTGGCTTGGCATAGTCTTATTGGAGCGATGAGGCGCGTGTGCACTGTCATGGAGTCCCCTGTCCTCCAGTCCGTGCACCTCGCTTCTAGGTGACACCTGTCTCCCAAGATCCCTTGGATGATCAAATTCCCTGTCCGCTCTGTTCTCGCGATAATGTGCGGACCTATTCTTCCAGCTTGCCCCAGCCGCCCTCCTATTGGCAGCTAGCATGAGCTTCGACTGCTCTATGCTTAAGGCTAATTGCTTAACTTCGTTGTAAGCCCTATGCGGCTCTACCTTATGCAGCGCGCCTACCAATTGGAAATGCTCCGGCCATCCGGCCAGGTTGTCCAAGAGTATTTGCGCGTATTCCAGTGAGCGCTCCTCCATCGCGCTCCCGGGTTTGCCTGCTGACCCAGTCTTTCTAGTACAACACAAAATTCAGCGACGTCCTGGTTCGGGCGCATCCTCAAGTTCCGTAACTCTGTCAGAGCTCTTAACCTGCCCGCGGTGGAATCTTGTGCTAGCAATCTAGCCATCTCATCCACGACTACGCTGAACCCTTGCTCCTTCACACTCCTCGGGAGCGCCATGTATATGTTTTTCGCTCTACCTGCTAAGTGATCGTCCCCTAATATGTCTACTAGGGTTGCCTCACAACTCACTACTTCTTCGTACTTTCTTTTAAACTTTCTTATGAACTCGTTAAAGTTCTCATTCCTAGAACCCTTGAACACACCTGGGTCGCTACACGCCATCGCTCTCAAATACGTTACTAACTGAGAAGCAACCGTACCTGATCTGTCTTCGACCCATTCCTCCCTCGCTGGGTTCCCCGAATGTTGCTTCAAGACTTCGACAGACGTCCGTCCAGTCGAACACGTTGTCTCCTGCAACACATCTCTATGAGCAATGTCTGTGTGCTCAAGCCTCACAGGTAGCATCTCGTTCGCCCCACCTTTATCGAGTGCCTCTTTGCTCTTCACGACTGCTTGCAATTTTTCGACTTCCTTCTTGACCAGTAACACATCAGTGTTTAAGATGTCGCATATGTCTGCCAAGACCTCCCCATCTCTCTCCATAGTCTCTATGTAATCTCTCCAATCGTCCCTTGATTCAATTCCTCTCGACACTAAGGTCATGCTAATATCCGTCAACAAATCGTCCCGATACTTAGACTCATTTGACCCTTCATTCGCGCTTTCCTCTATCCTCTTCATGCTGACTTGGAACTCCTTCTCAAACTCACTCCTTTTTTCCCTCGATATACGCGACTCGTACAACAATTCGTTCACCCTTTTGTGCAACAGACTCACCACTCTGATGAACTTCTCTTTTCTAACTACACCCTCTTGAAAACACGGCAAAACTTGCGCTCGTACCTGTACTGCGGGGTCCTCATTCTCCCCCAGCTCCATTGCCTTTTCACTCGATGAAGGCATCTGCCTGGAAGGTAAGACATTGAGATCTTCCTCCATAGTCACAATACCGCTGACTCCGTAGGCAACGGTAGGTTCTCTGTTTTCGTTTGGTGGCTCCTGCTTACGCCACTTTACTTAGGCCTGACTACCCTTGCCTTTCGTAGTCACGGCACAACACAACAACGACGGCAATACCGCGAAAACACACAAAACGACGTAAAAGTCAAGATGCGGTAGATACTCAGTGCCTAGGCTGTTCCTTGGCACCGACTCACTACTAATCAATAATCAATATCGCGTCGAAATGCGGGCAGCAGTAGGCTTCCAACGAATGTCAGATCACGACCGGTTCGGCCCCCATGTACGAGTAACAAAGAATCGTGATCGACGATATTCGTGGGTTACACCACTAACTGCAAGGTAGACGAGTACGAACGATATTTATTAAAAAAACGAACAGAACACAACCAACAAGAAAAAGGAATCGATCCGCGTGTAATGAGAGATCAGTCGAGTATTAGACGAGATGAGCAGTTGATCCGCCAAGGCACGAAACCCACAACGCGAGGGCAGAGTTCAAGCGGTACGAATCGAAACTTTCCCTACGACTGCTTCCGCTGCTTCGATCGCGCGTCTCCAAAACAACTCAGCTAATGAAAGCCGATGAATGAAAGGCCCACAGGGATGCGACAGTCTAAAGCACAAAAGGCACAATCAGCTAATGCCACAAAGGCAGTTACGACGTGGCCACGTAGGCCCTAATAGAGGGAAAAAGAACGATAGAGTGCTGGTCTCCTCTATGCTTAAATACCACTATGTACGCGCGCGATCACTTTCCTGTATTATCGATTATCGGTGACCTTGGTTGGTCACCTGCAGGGCTCTACGCTTTGCGGGGCGCCTTTCGGGTCCGCTTATCTCGTTCCCTCTTATCTGACACCGCGACCATGCAGTGTTCAAAAGGCCCATAACTTTCCTTAAATTAGTGTGATGAGAAGCGGTAAAGATTGGTTGGATCGAAGTGTACTTATAAAAAACTGTAAAAACTCGCCCTGAATTTTTTCTTTCTGCCTCAATTTTCCGTACGGCGTCTCTAGAAACTCAATTCAGCAAATTCGCTACACTTTGTTTCGCTTAGATTTTATATGAAAGCATCGAAACTCTCGAAAGTTTGTCTGCTTACGACCGCCTCGGGTATACGCGTGCACCTATCTGTGGGCAGAGTTCGCACACACATTTTGAAGTCTTCTGTTTTCCTGAAGAAGGTGTTAGTATCCTGATTGAGTTGCATTGTGCTGTTATATGGCACTATTGTTTCCCATGAACTGCCTCTACATTTGTTCTCCTCGGGATTTCCAGGAATGTTTCATCATCGAAGACAGACCCATGTTTTTGCATTACACTGTAACAAAGTTTTTGGCTATTGTCTATTGTACTCTTGATCTAGCAGCGGAGCAAAAGCGCAGTCCGGTATAGCGTCGCTCAAGGATAATAAGCTGATGGTGATTCTACAGTGTTCTGACATGCTTTAATGCTCCCATGGAGCTCATGTCTGTGTGACTCTCCGACAGCGTGCAGAGCTCCCGGAGAACATTAGAGGCTGAAAGTGCACTCCCGGACACTGCACTTTTCAAGCCGTCTTGCAGCCCGTCTGTAGATACGACCCCCTCCCTTCTCGGTCGGCAGAATATGACCCCTCGTTGTTCTTTGCGCAACGCAGGGTTGACCCTGCGCTGGACCGCCGTAGTGGGGTGGTACTGGCCGACGGCGGCGCCGATTGGAAACTGAAACTTTCGCTGGGACGCTAGTCGCTGGGACCTCAACGAGGCCTAACGATAAGTGTGTAAATAGTCAATGACTGTACTTTTGGGCAACCTCTTCAATTTTTTCCGAATTCGACGAGTTTTTCTCTCCAATTCTTTTTTGCCGAAACTTTCCCTACCCCTTTCTATAGTGTCTCGAAGTGCCTGAAGCTTGGGACGTGTGACAGAAGTTGTCCTTCCGCTCAAGGCGTGCCGTGCCGTCGATAGCGCTCTTGCACAGTTAACTTTGGATCGCTATATTGTTATAGGACGAAGTCAGCTCGGTGCACGTGCTACGCGACTGAATACGATACGCCTCAAAAAGAGCTGATAAAGGGGCTAGAAAGCAACTTCGCCAATTTCGTTCTGTCGTCGATATTGATACTAGAGCGTCTACAATTACAAATTTATTTAGGTCGGCACGAATACACTGTTGATGGGTGAGACAGTGAGTGCAACTGATAAAGGCTGATAAGGCGCGTAACAACACGCGAACACAAATGTCGTGGGTTTCGTTACCTAACCCGCGTTGACGCCACAGTACTTACACTTACGAATGTGATGTGGGGTGGTACCGGAACATCGGTAGTGGATTTTTGAAAGTGATAACAACTTGAGAAGCTGATAAGGAGCCTTCGAATCGCAAAAGTGGCTATTCCGTCATGCAACCCCCGTTAACACTAGAGTGGTTATAAATGTTTTGTGACGTGGGACGGAAACATTGTATGGATAGAACCAGTTTAGCTTGAGCAAGTTTGGCGAATGATACATTTTATTCTTTATCTAACACTAAGAGTGCCGGAACTCTTTAAATTACTGAACTTTAGAAATTTTAGCTCGCTGGCGACCGCCATAGGGCGCTTACTACTTCAACATTTTCCGTGCTCGTTCATCACCCAGCATCACTCCTTTAGCGTTTTTATTATCGGTAATAAAGGAATAGTTTTTTTAGAAATCAATAATGGACCGTTATGGAACAGGACAAAATACCAAATACATTAAGGAAAACTAGTCTGCCTCATGCGAAAGTGTGGTATGGCATCCACAGGTCGTGTTTGATACGTTGACGACCGTGCCGACCACACGGTCGTCAACGATTGAACAATGAAATGTACTCCGAAGGTGACCTTATACGCATGTGTCATTTCTATTTTGAGGCTAGCAGCACGAAAATATTCACCACTGGATTATCAAAATTTAAGAAAAGCGCTGATGTTCATCTGGACTTGCAGTTGTTTCTGCAGACGGCGTCATCTAATATCTCTGGCCGTCCTTTACCGAAATCAGCGCTTACGAATGGATCAAAGCAAAACAGGTGTCATATGTGAAGGCAGAAGATTTGTGAGATTATAATCGATACATATGAGTTTAGTTATTTTAAGTCATGTGCGCATGTTTCTATGTTAATCATTCTACATTTCCCTTTGAAATGAATCGCTTTGAGCTTGCACTGGGTGAGTTGGCATACTGTAAGCTCCAATTTGATTATCATAGTTCCTTATTGAAAAAGAACCTGGCATGAATTGTTTTCATTTCATTTTGTATTTTTCTTTTATTTTAAGCATATATGATACTGAGTGAACAGCTTCGCCTGCCTAGGCTGCCTGCAATTTTGTAACGTTTTTGAATAATTTTCTTATCATCCTCGTCCATGAATTGGATCGTTTGAAGAACATGAATGCTACATGGATCATGTGCGGTTTTCTTTTCACCATTCATCTCATTCTAATCGATGACTCATGTTTCCTTTTGGGCAAATCAGCTCCGGCGCGTGAACGCAAGGTTGAAGAAATATGCGGGTGTGTATTGTTCACGAGCCTCTTCACGTTTCTAGTTGAACAGCCGTTGAGAACGAAGGATAACAGGCTTTTCCTCGATCATCCCTTTGAGTATTTTCAATGTATTCAAGAGCTGTATGAATTGGAGGGAGGGCACGATTCTTGGGAGACGAATTGAGTGAATCACCATAATGTGTCCACATCCATTCACGCATCCATTTCACAGCCACACGTCCACAAATGGTCGGTGCAAATTCTTTGGCGTGACAGTGAGGCGAAGGTGTATCGCAGAAAGAGTCAGCGCTTGCCCTACAGCACGGCTTTCTCACAACTATTCCGGTTACTTCTTTTGTTTTATTGCTCCATCCACAAATATCTGCTGCTCTTTGATGAGCTCATCTGCAGAAAAGTTTGCATTCTTTCTTCTTGAAAACATCAGGCGCAATGTGGCTCGGGTGGGGCACTGTGTAAAAAGCCTCTGGAACAGCAGCGAAGACGATCTCCGGCTAATACGCAAATTACAGCCCACCTCCTCCTTAAGTTCTTAATCGTGAAACAGAGCTTTTCCGTAAACTTGACGCGATGTTGCATGGCGGCCCTACTGAGCCACATTGTGCCAGATACTATTACTTTGCGCCAGATGTCATATAATCCTTTCGTTATTCGATATGAGATATTCAGTTTAGCTCCATTTTTTCGTTAGCAGCTGACGCCTTTCGTGTTTGCTCTCGATCGCATTATTCCTGAATCTAATTCGTTCATATGAAGAATTATTCATGGCACTGATTTGAGTGTTCTAGGAGCACCACAATGCACAATACATTGGCAAATATAACAACAAAGGAATTTCATGGAAATGTTCCATGTTCTCAAAGCAAACCATACGTGTATATATGTATGTCATGCAAACGAACAACAAGCAACAGGGATGTACATAATGTTCAATGTAATACAGACTAGCAACAGTAAAAAGGAAATGCTAAAAACAGGAACTGAAGCACAACACAGATCTCGCCGAGAACCAAATACCAAAGACAAGGGCAGAGTTAGGAACCCATGACCGGATGGAATGTGTAAGTCGACCTATGCAGCTCGGCGACCGAAGTGGTAAGTCAAATGAGATGTGCAGCACCTTAGTTACTCAAACGCGTTGAAGCTCGAGACCGCGTCGCGTTTTGAACGATACGTGGGATGGCACCAAGCGCATGCAGTGCGCACTCTAATCGCTGATTCTTTCTACAACACTAAAACAACAGCTTTGAAATTACTTTTGAGGTTGAATACAGCAAAAGTTACAAGTCTTTGCGTTCCCAAGACATGCCCTTTTATCGAACTTTAGATATTGTACTCTCCTATGAGTTAGACACTTTCACATGGTGGAACACCGGGTGGAGAGGTGGGCACCTTTCATTGAGAAGATGTCATAAATAGTGTCGTTTTCTTCAGACGAAAAAATTTCTAAGATCCCTTATTTTCA